ACTTCCATTTCTAGTTATAATGATTCATTAAGGAATGTCTCAGTGGTACTTTCACGTCTACACACACATGCACACACACAGTAATAACAGTATGCTTTCCCAGTGTCTAGCAGGTTATTGAAAGGGAAGTTATTCAGCTCAGGTCTGATGAAGGGAAAATACAAGATTACAGCATGTGTGATGTCCTGCAGAGAGTCCAGGGACGTCAGTGTGCACCTGCTGCAGTACAATACTGAGTTCAGATTTATCTGTCTTCTCAGCAAGGAAAATTAGGCAAAACAATCTCATGCTGTCACAAATCCAATGCTTTAAACTAAGCTACTAGAGGTACCTTAACTAGATACAGGACAGCATATCCCCCTATCTGGGAGCACAAGAAACCTCCTCCATCAATACCATCTACAAAGGTGTCATTGCCAGTACTTGTGGCAAGGTATTGCCACTGAGAAATCGAATCTGTCTTTCTTTTCTGCCATATCTTCCACCAACAGCAGATCTGTGTAGATCACAATGGTCTACATGACTTCTTTGAAAGCCCTTTTTTAACCCTATTTTAATTTGTTGCATCACAGAAGACCATGTCTTTCTGACATAAGAACAAGGGAAAACAATATCCAAGCAGTTTATATATTTAGGACTATACAAACCAGTTACTGTTTCATATGTGGCTAGGATGTTTTTGTAAATAGCTCATAAATCATAGAATCATAGAATGGCTTGGGTTGGACAGGGCCTTAAAGATCACCTAGTTCTAACCCCTTTACCATGCACAGGGACATCTTTCACTTAACCAGGTAGCTCAGGACCCCATCCAACCTGGCCTTGAACACTTCCATGTCTTTGAGTAAATTGTTCCAGAGCCTCACCATCCTCACTGTAAAGAATTGCTTCCTAATACCTAAGCTAAATCTCTTCTGTTTCAGTTTGAAGCCATTCCCCCTAGAGCTGTCACTACAGGCCCTTGTAAATTGTCTCTCTCCATCTTTCTTGCAGGATCCCTTAAGGTACTGGAAGACTGCAATAAGGTCACCCTGAAGCCTCCAGTTTTCCAGGCTGAACAATCTAAACTGCCTTAGCCTTTCTTCATAGGAGAGGTACTTCATCCCTCTAATCATCTTGTTGGCTTTCCTCTGGACTCACCCCAACAGGTCAGTGTCCTTCCTATGCTGGCAAGCCTGGAGCTGGATGCATTATCCAGGTGGGGTCTCACCAGATCTAAGCAGAGCAAAACAGCATCACCTCCTAAATGTTCAGTAGATTTGCATTTTAACATACATCTTTCTTGTCAGTTTTTTGGTGGAAGACAGAACAGAACAAAGACATTATTTCCTAACAAATCTTTTCTCATATATTGGTCTCCTCTCCCCTTGGTCTCTGACAGCTCATTCAGATTAGTAATTATCTGTAGGTAATAGCATTTAGGAGAAGCTCACAGTTGCACCACTGACTTAATGACAAATTATTTTCTCCCTGTGAGATTCCTAAGCATATGCCCTCCTCAGTTTAGGATTAGGCTTCTCTTGGCAATGTGAAAAGGTACAGATGGTTTAGATTGTAGCCATCTTCTCTGAAGGATGAGCCATTACTATTAATGATGATATAAGAGCCTCATACTGTATCATCTACCAAGGTAGAGCTGTAAAAGTCAATTAGAAAAGTCTAGTTACATAAATTACATTCTCATTATCCATCCCTCCAGAACTGAACTGGTCAAGGAGGATGGCAGTTCAAATGAGTCTCTTCTTCCAAACTCATACAAAACATGGAGTCTGTGCTTACTAGATAAGAAGCTTTAGATGTCAGTAAGAGCACACTGCAAACTAAAGCCAGTAGAGAATGTTCACTTGACCATTTGAATCATTCAAAATTCATGGTGATCAAGTATAGTTAGGCATTCAGTTTATAAGCCTTTCAGATTTACAAAATCATGTTTTTATGCTTTAGGATACATATAAATATAGATTCTTACCTGCAGATAGACAGTACAGTCAGAAAAATTAAGGGCTCTGCAAGGAAGAGTTCAAGGTAAAATTTCCTTTTCCACTGAACACTCCACAGCAAACAACACTCAGGTTGTAGGTGACAGAAGCATGTAAGACTCTAAGACTCTTTTAAGAAACTTCTAAAACTATTGAACTACTGTGCTTTAAAACTAACAGTCCTATGTGCATACAAAGATATTCTTGAATCTGTTCTTTAAAACAAATTAAACTGGTTATAAAGGTACAAGTTTTATATTTGGTAATAAATATTAGAAAATATAAAAATTTCTAATTTTAGTTAATTGAAATATCTGATATCTAGTAGAACACATACCATTTTTTTTAGTTAAATAACCAGTTTTCCTGTAACAAGGAAATATAGCAATGAATACTAATATATTGTTGCATATAACTAACAACAAGTGTTAATATGACAAAAGTTCACTAAGAGCCTGGGCACAGAAAAGTTGCAAATATTTTTCCCACCTGTATTATTTTATTCTACAATATCAGCTGCTAAACATTTATTTCAGAGGTGAGGCGCATCATGCTAAAAGCTTAAGCTATACATCTGGGTTTCCAGCCAAGTTTTTAGGTTTTCCAATTTCTAGGGCTATAAATAACTGCAAATATAGTAACTTCAACCATCTTCTTTGATTTACTTCACTTCTACCCTAGTGACTGCCAGCTCTTGGACTAGTTCTAGCCATTACATGACAAAAAACCCATATGCTAGATTTATGTCTTCTATTCTTTCTCCTATATTCTATTTTTTTTCCACATAACACAACTTTTAGCTAATGATAATTTCTTCATTTTTGTGAAAGTAGCAGGCCTAGTTACTACCTCCAGCTTATGTGTGAGATCATGTGGCTTTAAAGAGTTTGTATGAAAACAGGAGCTCAATCAACATATTGCTTGCAATTATACCACTGTAGACTACTTCCCAACTCTTGTGAAGTGAATTGAAGAAAACCCCTGACCCCTCTCACTGTGCATCTTTTCTAGCTTTTATACACTGGCTGTATATCAGTAACCTAAAATATCTCATTGGTCTTAAAACAACTAATTTATGGTGTGAACTTATGCACACGTACAGAAACCAAGGATAGCACAGATTTCACTTTATTTGAATCAGTGAAGCTCTGCAAAATAAGCATTATTCCTTGTGGGGCTTTTTGCTTCCCACTGCACATTTGCTAGTGTTGACTCAAACAATTTACAAAGAGGAAATAAGATATGTAACAGTGTGAAAGGAAAGAGACACACTTACATTGTTAATGGGAAAAACTGAATTTATTATGCTAATTCTTTTTATTTAAGAAAAAGTATTTGAACCTAGATGTGATAACTTCTCCTGAATCAACTAGTAAAAAACTGACATCCAAAGCATTTGACAAACTTGTCTGCTTTCAGGGAGGCTGTGATTCTGAGGCAGTCTAAAAAGTTCTAGGTTCCTCTAATCCATATAAATAACAACAAAAGTACACCCTTGTCTATAATCTAGGAATTATATTTTTCTAAGATGGGTCTTAGGCATAATCTTTAAAAATATCTGGTTTTTTGCAAAGCAAAAATTGCTGACTTTTCCTCCTTTAGTACATCACAATGACTATTCCAGTAAAACCTTGGCACTGTAGATGGCAATTCCTCTGCAAATTCAATTCCTCTCAAGACTTTACTGGCCTTCACCAATTCCTACACAGTCTTGATTTCCTTCTTCTTCTTGCTGAATCCATTTCAATTTGTTTTACAAATATATTGCTGATCCTTTCCCAGCAAGTTCTTCCTGTTAAGACTATTTTCCATACCAAATGGATTCTATCCTGATCAGATACCAACAATCTAAACTAAATTTCACAGAAGCATACAACAGCAGCATTTGGCTCACAGATTGTCTCAGCCTATAGCCCTGCCATGACAGCTGCTCCTGTGATAAATGATAGGAGTTTACAAACAAGGCAGAGTTGCAAAGGATGGTGGATTTCAAGGAACCATTTGCTAAGCTATTTGCAGATAGAGTAGCTTTTTACAATGTCTAGTGCAGCATTTACAGTGCAAAAATGGATATGAGAATCTTTAGTATTCCCTAACCATCAACTGATGTTCTCATCTATTTTCACTTGTCTCCCCTTCTCCAGCTTCTTCTCATTCCTCCCAACACACATACACAAGCACATGTAAAACCCTCTTCTGCTCAGAAATATTTTCCTAGGAAGTTTTACAAGGACAGATTCTGGAAAAATGCACAAGATGAAGTAAATTACAGGAATAAGAAGAATGCTTGTTAGTTGTTTGTGGCACTGGTGATGGATTCCAATGAAATTCCTACTGTTTTCTAACTAAAATGCCATTTAATATGTAAGTGCAATAACAGATCTTTTGAAATGGAATCTAATCTAATTCCCATGCAATAATTTATTTTAAATGTTTTAAGCCCTGTACTGCTTGTATGTTGACCAAAGCTGTGCATAGTCTTAATAACTGGATGATAATAAAATAAAAATTTCTAAATTGTCTGGTAGTTTAGCATCTATATTTTCCACATAAAAAGCTACATCTATACCCAAATTCCCTACAAACTAAAGAAATATTTTAAAAGAAATCACAGCAGCACTGATCAGTAGTTAAAACACTAGAACAGACTTGAGTTTGAAAAACTTGATTGTGCAAAAGAAAGTATTATTTCTGCCTGAGAAAAACAGAGCAGCTATATAAACTAAGAACTCAACAGGACTGCAAAGGAAACACCTGTTAGGATTTAATCTTGCACTTATCTCAGAATAAACCAACACAGTATTATTTTCCAAATGGAAAAAGGTTCTCAAAATTTAATCAGACAAAGGATTTCATTCTGTTTAATTATATGAGCAGTCATTCAAGATGAATCAAATATAACAAATAAAAACAATTCTTGCATTTCAACACCTCACAGAGGAGCAAGAAAATATCTGAAAGTCAATCAAAAGTATTCTAATGAGAACAAATATTTTTAAGTGTAATTTTATAGGTCATTACCTTCCATATTTGAGTAACATGTTGATTCCCCTTTCAAAGCCTTCTGTTTTCTAGGCACTGAAAGAGAAATTAAGAGAAACGTATACATTGAAATGATGAATATTCACATATTCTAATCTGACCAGTCTATCTTAGGCTGAAGCTAATATAATAGTCTCCTTAGATCTAGATAGAAGACCCTGGAGAAAAGAAGGCTATTGCTTTTTGCAATTCAGAGAAAAAAAATGGACTCTCCCATCCTGAACATCTGGAGAAATGAATAACAAGCCCCAGTGGTGCAGGAAGGATAGGGGGAGCTGCCTAACTTAACTACACTGATGATTTGAATATACCCCATTATTTTCTTTCCTCACAGCTTTTTACATAACCAGATGCTTTTGTCACCATATCTGTGACATCAAATCCAAACCAAGGAAAACTGTTGTTGACCACTGACAATTACAAGTATGGCACAGCAGTACTTATAGATATGTGGAATTTTTCCTGAATACAGTACCTTTTATCCATTGCAAAATTAAAAAGGAAGAAAAAGTACAATGTTCTGTGGAAGACTTCCTTGGTACATAAGTCTTTATGTACCAAGCCCTCTACATAAATCATTTCAAACCAAAGTAAGGACTGCTCAGATTCATGCATCTGCACTGAAATAGGTGAGTAGGGACTTGGTTAATTCTGGCATATTCCAGGTAAGTAGAGCTACTCTTTGAACCTATGGATACTTAATTATTTATAGAATATAAAGAATAGATTGAAAGCAAGTCATGCCAGTACATTCAATTGCATGGCATGAAGGATATTTATCTAAGATTCAGACTAATCATACAAATCAAACCTTGGCTTTGAGCCTGGCAGAAACTTTAATTAAAGAAGTATCTAGATTTCTAGGTACAGCTAAAGGCAAAATTCATGCACATAATTAGTACTATAAACTGCTTCCACTGTCAAACATATCTGAAAGTATTAAGTAGGAAATGAGATATCACCTGATAATGCATTGTTAAAGGCAGAAAAGAAAAGCCTGCCAAAACACAGAACTCATAAGACAGATTCCTTGCATAAGCTGAAAGGAAACCGGGTTTCTTGCTTTCAGTATAGATAATCTAGTTAAATTTCAAGAGCTGTGACACTAGGAAAAATACCTCTCCCTGTCATGATTTAATCCCAGCTGGAGGTGAAATGCATGCAGCTGCTTGCTCAAGTTCTTCCCCACACACTGGTGGAATGGGGAGGAAAACCAAAGTAAAACTTGTATGTTGAGATAAGAACAGATTCATAATTGAAAATAACGCTCAATACAATAATAATGGTAAATACTACTACTAATAATAATAATAACAATAATAGTAGTAATGTATTAAAAAATCAAAATTATGCACAATGTAATTTCTCACCACCCTCTGACTAATGCCAGACCCCCCCCTTACTGAATCCAGCTTGTCTCCTCCTTCCAGGTAACTCCCCTTCTTTATAAAACATGTGTGACATTCTATGGTGGGAAATATCCCATTGATCAGTTCAGATAATATGTCCCAGCTATTACCCTCCCAAAGGTTTTTTACAGGGTGGTTTTTTCATTGTTGATGGTTGGTTTGTTGGGGTTTCTTGTTTTTTTTTTTTATTTTTGTGTGCATCCTCACTGGCAGAGCATGAGACAAGGAAAAGAAGTCCTTGATTTAGGACAAATGTGATTTAACAAAAAAGTCAAAACACTAGTGTGTTATCAACATGATTCTCATTCCAAATCCAAAACACAGTACTGCAACAGCTACTGAGAATAAATTAACTCTACCTTAGTTGAAACAAGATCACTCCTTTTTCAGCATTTCAAGTTGTCTGTAAAAAAAAAAAAAAAGAAGCCAAAAAATTGTACAGATGATATAGTTTTGTCTTGCACTTGATTAGTGTATATGATCAAGGGGAAAGGATTCATCTGCAGAGAGTTTTGTATGCTCTCAATGCTGTTTCTCATAGACAGGCAACAGGTACAGTGATCAACAATGAAATTTTTTTTCTGTACCTTCTTATCTGGCCCTTTCAAATCATAGAGAAATATGCTGCTTCTCATCCCCAATTATAATAAAATCTGAGCCACAGTTCCCCCACTGTGCTTTATCTGCAATTTTAGGTTGGTCCTATAATGACTTTGCACATCATCTCATGTGGTCTCTTCAGGACTTTAGACAATGCTGAGACTTAGATTTGTTTACTGACTGTGTTCAACTACAGATCACCTCTGAAAATGCCAAACCCTTCTCTACCCACTTCATATAACCAAGTACAAATCACTTACAGATTTATCATGTTGATACAGGAAGTCTTAAATTCAAAAATAATTTTAAAAAACTAAAATTACAACACTGATTGTTCTTTGACTTACAGAGCTGTAAACAAAAACTCTTTTTTTAGTCAGTTATGCTACAAAATTATAAAACTGATCTAAGAGAACAGAAAGTAAAAGAAACACCAACATGTTCCTATGTGTGTTAATAAATGACCAGGAAATGTCAAATCTTTATATAGGATTTAAGGCAAATGACTCTTTCATTACAAATTACAAGTGTTTCACTAACATGCCCAATGGACAGGCTTATGAGTTGTTTATGTCTTTATTACAATGAGGAAAAGTATTAAAATTATTATCTCCTTACAGATGATCGTGTTACATCCAGCTTTCCCAGGGCTGCATTAACACTGGGGTAAAAGCCATATATAAGCTTCTTGATAATTTCCTGATATCAAAATTCCTACTGGAACAGCCACACAAGCACAACAGGATGCTTTAAGGTCCTCAAAAATTTACATTCGCCTTTCTAGCATTTGTAGATGTATTACCATTTTCAGATACAAAATAACACTCTGTGTATCTAACTCTGGGCACTGACACAATTATGATGGAGGGCTTTGTCAAATCCTTTTTCCCTGTGAAATGGACAAGAAGAAGTAATAAAAGTTCAGAAAGTATCTGACATCTATGCCCACAGCAAGATTTGTTTCAGCTATTTTTTTCTTTTTTTTATATAATTTCTTATTTGTATTTCTTTCACAGAATTTGCTATAGCAACTGAAGATAACTTCCAAAAAAATAGAAGAGGAAAAGTACAGTACTCACATTTTAAAAATATTAGAAGCAAGCAGAAGTCCAAATTAAGTACATTGGTTTTAAAAAATAGTCCATTTTTTTACAAAGAATTAGACTTATTTTTAAAAACTGCTTTCATAATAAATACGTGCCTTTTTGTTCCTTATTTTAGTCACAGTATCTGATTTAAATCTATATTTTGGCTCATCTTGATCCATATTTGCACAGCAGATAGTGACTTGTGGTGTCCTGAAGGGGCTTGCTCAGAAACTGCAGGTTATCATGCAGTTTCATCTGAAAAAATTTACTTTCTTCCAAGACTATCAGGCAAAACTGGGAACTCAGACTTGTGGTCATTTCTGATGGAGAAACATAAGTGAGGACCAAAGGAGTAAATTTGTTTCTCCTTTAGGAAAAAGAAAGTCTTTACCTTTTAGTAAGTACATAGAATTATTTACCTCATTATCTTTCTATCAATAAAAAAAACATCTTTGTAAACCCTGCAAATATGAAAGGGAAATGTAATTTTTTTCTGCAGAGGAGCTGAACACCCATACAAAGTTGGTGTGATAGTAATCCGTAGAAGGATTTATCCCTTTGATACTATATCCCTTGTACAAAATCAACAATCTCTTCCAACATAGCTATCTTGCTTAAATGAGAAGCCTTTAAAAAACATAAAGAATCACAGCATGCTTACAACTTGCAAATCCCATTGTTTTCACCCCTCTTAAAAATAAAATTCTGCAGTATCCAGACCGGTAAAATGAAAGCAAAGCAAATATCAAATGCAAAGGTCAATAGGGTAATGACTTCATTTGAACTATTTGGTGAACAGATCAATAAGTCAGTGAATCAATATTGGGGGGCATTTTAATTATAAATTACATCCAAGCTGAAAAACAAATGGGAAGTGACATAAGAATGCAGAGCTATGTCAGAGCTGACATGGTCAGGAAAGCAAAAGGATAGACCAAAACTGGCTGAACTTTCAAAGCAAGTATGACAAGTTATATATTATTAAGAGCATTAATGATCCATCTGTCATTCTATCATCACTCAGCAAGGTCTGTAAACCTTTACTTGACATACTGAAACAATAATGACTAAAGACATTCACAGCTTTTACTGTTGTATTTATCTACTATGGAATGCAAACAAACACAAACTTTGTGAAAGGAAGGATAGAAGGCAAGGAAATTATCTGAATTGTCCCAGATTTATGCAACTGGAAGTAGGGTCAGTGTTTAATTTCACCCTTCTCCTAAAAGCTGTCTATAATGAATAACTGATACCGTCCATGGTGAGGTTATTGCTAGAGTCATGTGAGTAAAGTATGTTGATGCTGTGAGAACTGGGTATCATGCAAACTGGTATTTGGTGCAACCTCTAGTTCAGAAAGTCTTAACATCTTTAGCATCCTTGTCATCTGAAGAGTAAAACTGGTATCATGTGTTTTTTAATGACAATACCTATAACAATTACGACCAGTTTAACTAGAGAACTGTAAGATCCAGTTTTATTCACAACAATCTTGTTCTACAAGAAATTGATGGGTTTTCACTTTATCCCTAGAAGGTTTGCTTTAGCTACTCAGAGGCACTACTGAGTGTTTTTGAGCTTACACACATGATTAAATTAAATACAGTGATAACACACATCTAAACTGGTAAAAAAAGTGACTGACACATCTGTGGTGTTAAATACCTCTGAAAATGTCTAAGACATAGGTATACCAATTTTCTGGAATCATAAAATATTGTAAACCAAGCCAAATTAAAATTAAACTCCATTGCAGCAATGAATGTTTTCCCAAAGAAAGAAAACATTCATGACTCAAGCTACAACATCCTTATTACAAAAAAAAAAAAAAAATCCTGAAAAAAATTAGTTGAAAGTACTTTCTGAAAAAGAATTAAGAATTTTGCTATAAACCTAGTAAGTTGGACTGCTCTGCCTTAATATTTTCCATATCTTAATATTTTCCAGCCAAATTAATTATGGTAAAATATTAGGGCAATAAAGCCTACAACAGAGTTCATAAAGAAAAAATCTGCTCTCAAGAAACACAAAGTACACAGAAATGTGTGACAACATTCCATACCTTACAGAACATGAAGACCACACAGGATGGAGGTAACATGTGAAATGAAAATGTATTTTGAAAAATGATGAAGGACAGCACTGCAGCCTGCTCACAAATACTCATATTTCCTGGGGAAAAAGGAAGGAAAAACAAAACAAAGAACTAGATAGAGCAAAACAAAAAGGACAAATTCAATTAACCTCTGCCAGAGAAGGCATATTTTCCCTGTTCCTTCATTATCAGTTATATCACTTTCAGTGTATATTGTCAGGACTTCAGCACAGGAGATTTTGGTAGGCAAAAGTCAGCACTTGCTTCTTATTACCTTGTCATCCCCAAAGCAGAAAGCCAGCAGAGTCTACAATAACAGTAAGAATGAAAGCAAACAATATGATGCAGATTCTTGACCTGTAAAACAATTAAACATTTTTCTTCACTTCATATTTAACTCCTGACATATACTTCATATTGCTCTGTCATGCAGAAGAAAAACATAACCAGATTCACTACATCAGGAGTATGGTCAAATGGAAACCAAGTGTAATGTAAAAATGACATTCACCAGCCAAAATGAAACAGAAGTATTACAGATAAATCATCATCATGAAAGAGAAGTATTACAGATAAATCATCATCATCATCAGTTGGAGGTTTGTTGTTTGCTATGAGATGAGTAATTACAAAGTCTAACACAGCAGCAGGCACCCTTACTCTTTGAAAATGTGTCAACACCATAAAATATAACCATGGTCAGAAATATTTTCTGAGCACATTACATTCATTAAATTAATTCTGTGTTATTAGAAGTCAAGTCAGTGTATCAATCTATGAACCATGGTAAAAAGATTGAATTATTTTTGCATTCATTCAACTTTTGGCTGCATGCTGAGGTGTAATAATAGGGATTATAAAAAACTTTGAGGTCCAGAAATTACATTTATGAAGAAAACCAAGTGTCAGGCTTAGAGACTATTTGAAATTCTCTTATTCAGCTCACTACCCTTTGGATTACATATTAATTACATCTTATGAGATATTGTGTCGCAGGTAGTAGCTATACTATTTCAATTTTAAATAAAGTTTTAAAGGACAACAAAATAAACCAAAACAAAATAAACCAACACTACTGTGTAGTCACTGCCAGAACTGTGACTGGGGGTGAACACCTGTCCTCTGGAAGTACAGCACCATTTCAGTGCATGGCACCAGCAGCATTTTGTTGATTTAGGTGGAGACAAAACTCAGAGTTTGCTTGAAGAACAGAACTCCAGCTAATTTGGAGGATCTCTGCAATGTGCTACCAGGAAGCCTATTGTCTCCTTAAGATCAGCTACTTGCCTATAAATGTTGCTCTCACCATTTGCTGGGAGCTTGAGGAGGGTTCAGGAGATTTTGAAGGTTTCATCCAAGTGTCTCAGAGGCAGGGAATATCTCCATGTCCACTAACACATTCCTGAAAAACGGGGAGTGGGTTTATGAGGCACATCTCTTCACTTCTGACAACATCACATCATACAATGAACTCACAGGGCTGTGGCACAAAGAGTTTGCATCCTGGGATTATTTACTCACTTTATTATCATGTAGGCCATGGTAGAAGAAGAAGGGTTACATTATCTCTGTGTATACTGTGCTAGTGATATGACCACTATATATGATCACTATA